AGGGCAAGCAGTGTCTTTTTCAGCCATATAGAACTTCTGAATCCAACCCTTTAAAAGGCCAGTTCATTTCTGCTGTCTTCTGGGACACTGAATTCTCTAGGTGGTCTATATTTTGCATGAGATACTAGTTATTGGTACCCATCATGGGTCAGAAGTAGAGCATAATCTCTGCTGCTTGTATAATTAATGCTGGAAAGTTGCTATAAACAGAAAAATGTGCTTATGTTTTTTTTTCCTTCGGGATGAGTAAGACCGCACATAACAAGTATCTGTCTGCTGGCCAAATGGTAAGATAGAGCATGCTTTACAAAAGGATGAAATAACATCCAGTGGGTTTTAAGGAGGGAGAAGCTGTCTATAAGAAAAGTTTCAAAACAGGAGTTGGCCCAGCTATGATTACTCAGCAGGCCCAAATTGCTCCATGAATTATTCAGGCTGAGTCAGTCATAAGTCCACTGAAAGAGATTAAATTTTAGGTATGCAGATAATCCACACACATTTGAATTTGTGTTAACTGACACTAAGAGTCAATGTTCAAGTTATTTTCTTAATTTTTGGTCGCATTGGTTCACTCACATGAAAGTTGAACCAGTAGAAGGGACCAGGGATCCTCTGCAGCCTCTCACTCTACAACGTGATGAGGATAGTGTGCACTACAGACAATGTACCGCAGACAAGAGCTATGACTGCAGCACACACAAGTTTCTGTCTAGCAAATTCAGGAAGCATGAGGATTTACAACAGGTTACACCTTTGAGTCTGCAGGCTTCCCAAAAAGCTTACATGGCCTGTACCACTGCTGCTATTGGTGTGTGAGCTTGCTGATTTAAAAGGTAGACTGCACATGCTGCAGTTGCAGCTCTTGCTGGCACTGTAGAGGTACCCAGATGGAGTGGCTGCTGTTGCCTGCCCTTCCTGGACACCCTGGGTTGCTTCACGGAGAGCTTAGCAGCGATGCTGAGGGAGGCACAGGAGGCCCAGCAAATTCACAGTTATCTTAACAGTGTGCTCTCCTCTCTAGGTTACGCCTGTCTTGTAATTCTTTCCCCTAGCCCAGACTTGGGGCAGCATTATGTATGAAAAGCTGCCTTCTTGGGGAACAGATTGATGGGCTTCACATCAGTAAGTATTGTTTACTTTCCCTAAAACTGCTTCTTGAGGGAGGTCAGATGTTTTCTGTTTAAAAAAGAAAAAACAAGACAAATTCTGAATGGCTGAATATTTCTTGTGAGGCAAAATGCAAATACACCTTATTAATGATCTCAGTGGCATCAGTACTATGGTGGAAAAGTTAATTTTACCAAATTTTTTTTTTTAATGAGTCCATGTTGTTTGAGTTTTCATGACATAACCAGTGATGGCTTAGGTGCATTTCAGAGAGGTCATTTTTTTGCTTGTACTTTTGTTCTCTGAAATACAGATCAGAGCCCGCTCTATAAAAGGGAATATGCCAAAGCCACACTACCTGCTATGTTATTTTCCCAACCTCTTTTTCTAAAATGTTCTTTGAACACTTTTTTATTTCACCTCTGCAACATAATGGTACACCATTTCTCTGAAATTCCAGGCATGCATTTCCCATTCTGGTGAACGCTGTTGCCTCTCTTTGAGACCACCTCTGAAGAGGGGCTCTGCGAGCTTTGTAGTCTTGCAAAATTTGAGAAAATCATTACTATGGTGTTCTTATCCCTTCTGGCACGAGGTTTTTATGTTTTGTTTTATTTTTTAAAGCAATACGTACTGTTGCAGATAATCTAGGTTCTACGTAAGATACTTCTTGCTAATTAATTACGGACTGTGAGATTGCCTAGCTAGCTGTTATGAAATGCATTCATCAGGAGTAAAATGGTTACATAATCATCTGTAAGAACAGCAGAATGCATTTCAGTAAGCAGAATTTCAAGTAATTAATTCTTTAAAAGAAAAAAAAAAAGGCAAGCCAGAGGGTATAGTCATTTCTTTAAACTACCTTCTAGCAAGTTCTTTTCATCACCATTCAGCTGATTGATACTGTGTGGGAGGAAAGGTTTTATTTAGAAAGGTGCAGCTGAAGGCTCAGTTTGCATGCTGTTAGGTGTGTGGATCTCTTACTGAAGCGAACGGAGAGCTATGCAGGGAGCTGGCTCTCCGAGAAGTGCAGCTGACGTTATTTCCGAATGCCTACAGAAAATCCTCCGTCTTCCCTCCTCGGTGTGCATGACAGAACAAACAGGGAGAGCAAACACAAAGTACCTTTGACTCTCCAAATACAGTCGGTACTTGTTTGCCATAGGAGATGGCATGCTCTAAGTCACCTAGGCAGAAATAAGTAGCACCTAGTCCTTCACAGACCTACCACTGGCTGCACTGATTGTCTGTAAAAGGCCATACTATAGCGAATTTTCTTACTCCGTCTGTGTAATTCAAATGAAAAACAAAGACTGGGCAAAGAAAGATGTGAAGGACCAAAACATGGATGATCCAGGGCACTATCTGAGCAAAGAGAGCACCTAAACTGATGTAGTATGTGCATGTGCTCATATACATGGAGTGGGGGGGAAGCTGTCTTTAGTTTTAATTTTACATTGGGAAATCTATTTCCGGAATCGTAAACAGTTCCATGTTAGGGACAATTGCTATTCATGTTAAGGATCATGGAAGGCTCACGTTTCTTTGCACTGTGTTTTTTTTTCCTCTCACTTTGCTTAATGCCACGTGCTTTGTAATGAGTATGAGTGTTTCCATTGATTTCAATGGTCTTTAAAGCAGGAGCTTGTAGTGTGATCAGACAGGGAGTAAGGATGAGAAGATACATGTTAAATACAATGTTTTGGGGTGTGACACAAAGTCTGAATTATATGAAAAAGCAAATCAGGTTGGCATTATGTAAGACTATTTTATGATTTTGTTTCTGACTGGAGAAGGGAGGAGAACCTGGAAAGGAAACTTTTCTTTCTGAGTCCTGGCAAGCATGTTCATACACAAAAAATGCTGTTTTGGCATTTTTCTGATGTGAACTCTGTAGACATCAGAAAATGCCAAGATGTGTGTTTATGTGTGTTTGTGAACGTTCTGTTGTGAGATGATAAATTCATCAAGTGGATATGAAATCAGAGAATTTAAAAAGTTAGGTATCACAGATAATTCACATACATACTGTTGAAAACTTAAAGCTTTCTCAGTATATTATTCTGAAGATAAAAATAGCCAGCGCACAAGTAGAAATATTGCCTTGATATTCCACTCACTTATATTACTTTTACATTGGTACAACTTTAATGCCTACAGTGGGCTTACTCCTGATTTATCATGTTGTAAACAAGAACAAAATTGGGTCTATATGCTTTTACAGACTTTCACTGATTTTTGGTAGGCCTGTGTTTTAGTTGGAGAACCATAATCTCAGAAGAGTATTAATCAAATGATTGCTATCAATCAGAAGCACTTCAACTTTGTGAAGACATTTTTCAAAAATTACTTGGCACCTGGGCTGATTTGTGCACTAGGTTTCAGTCTGCTGTAGACTAATAGGACTGATCTATAAAGAACCAAAAATAAAGTATGTATTAGAAATAAAATTGTATTATTGAAGGCAATTTTCTTACCTAACTCTGCAAATGCATCAAGAGCCTGGTGATGCCATAGTTTCCTAGTATATGCTAAACTGCAGGGATTTTGTCTCTGGGATTTTTATCCCTGAGCACCTGAAACAAAGATTAGTGTGAAAAACTCATGAGTCATATTTACTTTAACAGATTTAAATGCCTTCTCATATACCGTAGGAACAACTGGCTCCAGGAACGTGGCATTAAAATTACTAGAGCAAGTATTTTTAAAATATCAGTATTTTACTTCTATTACATTTTCATTTTTATGTTCTTCTATGTATGACATAGCCTGAAGGGAAGCTTCAAATGCATATTATATTGGTGGTTGAAAGTAATAACTTAAAGTTACTTTAAAATCCATGCAAAACTTTAGAAGAAAGACTCCTTTGTTAGAATGTCTGTGGTGCCACATCTGAACGTTGTTCAGGGGTGGCTGTATCTGTAGGTTTGATGGCGCATAGGATCTGCAGTCTACAGAAGCTGGCAGGTATCCTTTGAAGATCGATTTAGTGCATAACATGTCTCAACTAACCTGGCTGAGAGGGAAAGCAAGCTTATGGAGTCCCTGTTTCTGCTCTGCCATTTGAGTTGCAAGAGCATTTGCAGTATATTTCATACCAACGGGCAGTGAGTAACTCTGTCCTCAGGAGTAGGTTTCTGCTTCTACCTTACTTTTGAAGTGATTTTGGAGTGTGGAAAATCCAGCCTTCAGTATCCAACACAGAGCATTGAAAATGCTATGTGCAAGTGTTTCAACAGCTTGTGTAGCAGCTGGCAAATGATGTGTGGGATGATTTGTTCTCTTCTCCATGTATTTGCTAAATACTTACTGGTCTCCACCTTTTAAATATGAAATACTAAATAATGAAATGTAAAGTAGTAAAAGCTTTTAGAAAAAGTGTGCTTTTATGTGATACGTGTCTCATTCCATTAGGCAATGGATACACCTAAATGCTGAGACAAGACTTCAAATTTTATCCTCACTCCTACGCTAGACAGTAACTTGGACTGTGTGTGAATTCCAAGTGCATTCATTGAAACCAATCACCAAGTGTATTTTGAAAAATGTTGGCTGGCCAGCTGTCTGTAATTAGCAAAGGAAAATGCATCAGTAGTAATGAAAAACCTAACAAAGATTTGTACAAATCACCTTTAAACCTCCGCAAGTCTACAAGAAATTGTAAGAGTTCTGTAGTTGAAACTTTTAACAATTATTTCCTACCACATGCACTAAACTGGAGTGATGAAAACCAGTTGTAGTGTATGGTTTAAATTTTTAGGGCCAGTAAGATGTGTAGGTAATGTACTAAAAAGAAGAAAGTACAATCAGAGAAACCACACCTGTAAATTAAGTTTATTCATTCTGTATGCGAATAACTTCTCACATGTTTCCAGAGGGGGAGAGGAAACAGTTTCCCTTGATCCCGTCATTAAATATATCCTTTAATGGATTATAAATGAATAAAACAGTTGTTTTCATTTCATCTCTCTTGTTAAAATTCATAATTTGTTTAGGAATGCAGAGATTCTAATTGGGGTTATTTTACAAGACACTGAATTTAGAAATTATTCAATGAAGGTGCATTCCAGTCCTAGAAATCCTAGGTGCTATCAGGGCCCCGAGTGCACTGATAGCCTTACTAGCCCTGCGCAGCCTTCTCTGGGGCCTCCCTGCACCCTGCCCGGAGGCCTGGAAGCCCGCTTCAGCCCAGCCTAGGGCCGTCAATCTTGCTAGAAAGCAGGAAGCAAATTCCTAGAAAGCAGCAGGTGAAATTCTAGAAAGCAATGGGATAATTCCTGGAAAGCATCAGGAAAATTGGTGGAAAGCCAGCAGTGTAATACCTAGAAAGCAGCAGGGGAATTCCTAGAAAGCATTGGGAGAAATCCTCGCTTTGTGAGAATTCCTAGAGAGCATAGAGTTAATTCCTAGAGAGCTCCTAAAAATTTCCTAGAAAATTTCCAGACCGTGGAGTTCCCAGTAAGCTCCTTAAAAAGTCCTTGGAAGCGGCAGAAAATATCTCGAGAGGCTCCAGATGCAGTCTATATATCTCCAGAAAATATCTGGGTAATATTTTCTAGTAGTAATATTTTAAAGCATGGTATCTTATGTGTTTGGAAACTTGCTGCTTCTTTCTGGCCTGAGACAGAAATTGTTTTTATTTTATTGCAAATGTCTTGTTCATCATGAGGAACTGTGATTTCACAGTCAGCAGCTTGTGATTTCAGGTGAACTGGAACTGATGAGGTTCTAAGGAAAAAACTGTTGTCTTGCAAATGCTCTAAATAAATGAAAACCAGGGAAGCAGGTAAAAAGAATGGGCTCTAAGCAGACTCAGTGAGATCATTTTCCAAGAGAAGTCAGTGCTTCTTTATGACTACCATGACTTTGTACCTATCTGTACCAAAACTCTGCAAGACCTCTGCCCTCCAAAGTCTTGCTGACTGAAATATTTTTCCCTTCTCTCTCATGTGACAGCCTGATCCAGCCGATCGGGCTCCCGACAGCACCTCTGCCAGGCTCTGCTCTTGTTTTTGCTCTTCTGAGTGTGAATTTCAGCAACTTGCTTTACTTCTGTGTCTGCTTTCCCATTTACTTGGAGCTCACCAACCACTGTGGGGCACTGTGAGATATGTCAGGGAAAAGCACCATTTAAATACTGTATGGCTAACTAAATAGAAGGAGACCTTATTCAGGAAGAATTCTATTTACTCCCGTAGACTTCATGCCTGAACAGGCCCTGCAGGGTATGGTAATGTGAATGTTTAATAAATACATATTCCTTGGGGAACCTAATAATCAGATTTTCATACCAATGACGGATGATTGCGCCATGGGGCTTGACCTGGCTAAGGGCATTTGAAATATTGGCCATGTTGAATTGTTACAAACCGACATACAAATCTCTTGGGGCATATTCCTTCTAGATAGGAAATTCTCCATTGTAAATTATTTCCCTGCTTTAAGGCACCACACTTTTAATTCAGCCTTTATTGCAAATGCATCTGGTTAGTGTTAAATTAAAACACCCCAGGAAATCTGTACTTTCCAATGTATTTGTTATTTATATAAATCTTTGGACAGCATCCATTGCTTTAAAATCAGGTTAATTTGAAACATAGAGCACTCTGCTGGGATTGTGTTCATACCTGTTGCTGTATGAGGTCAAGATACTTCAAGTCTGATACTGAACTGTAAATCTTTATTATTCTTCTAAGACATTCTCCAGATTTCCACCCTGTGAAATCATCAGATGCCAGGTGAGGGCACAATCTTTTTTTGCTGAACCTAGTCCTTTTTCTGAAGACTGTTCCTGTTCAGCAGCAAAAAATAATTCCTGTTATTTGAGGTAGATGTTTTAAGTCAAACTGATGTAAAGTTATGTCTGTGCTTGGTTGGCTTAGGGCTTTGGCCTGCTTTTGACAGGTAGATTCAGAGGTCAGGATCCCTTTGTAATGCTGTGGGCACATCTGTGCTGGTGAGCTCATCTTGGGCCTGTGGAATGTGATTCTCTGAGTGAATGGCAATGCACTGTACAGACCTGCTGCTGCTCTGTGATATTTCAGTGACATTTGACACAAGGCTTTGTAGACCGCTCCCACGTTTTGTAATAGGACAGCTCTCTTTTGCGTGGTAAAGTTTTCCCCGCTGCGGATTTGCATAGTTTTGAGAAAGCATTTCTCTGCTTTGCTGAAACACTTAATCTTGACAAAATGCAGTCCAACACGTTTGCTGGAAAACAGCACAGCAGCAGCATCAGTAAGTAGCTAGGGCTGCAGGTGGTGAGAATTTAGGAACTATCACTTGGCTATGTTTTTTCTACCTGTGATGAGTCTATTTGGGTGAAGCAGCTTATTCTACACTTAAATGTTTTTGCCAGTGTAGTTGTATTGATTTTAAGTTTAACAAATCACATTAGCTCCCAGCATAGTCAGGCCAGCAGAAGCTCTAATGTATGTGTATTTTAACTAAAAATAAGCAAAAATATTTTATTTACAATTTGTGTAAACTCAATCTTTTGTCAAAAAATGGTTTAGGCTCTCCTGGCAAAAGATGTCTCATCACTCCAGTTGTGTCTCCCCTAGGGCATCTGCCAATATAATTACCGTGGCAGACCGTGTAAGTGAGTACGGGCTTTGTGTGGCTAATCTGTGTTGAGACTATGGTAGTTACCATGAGATTTTGATCAAATGAAATTTGGATAGAAGAACGAACCACTGCAAGAGTTGGGGGCCGGAGCTGTCCCACGTGTAATGTGCCACTGAACTAGCAGAATTGCTCGAGGATCACGAGATTCTCCGAGACAACCAACATCAAGACCCCAAGTTGGTGTTCATTTCACAAGGTTTCTCCTCAATGGCCGTGGTGATAACAGCAAGAGAGGAGGGCTGTTCTTTGATTGCAGGCATTGCCATGGCAGTTTGCAGCTGTTAGTTTTCAGGGAAAGGTGCTTTCATGACAATGGGATGTGTTTGCAGAGAAGGGTTTTAGTTTTGTTATGCCAGTTTCAAAACTGATGTGTAACTGAGAAGTGCCACTTTCTGGAGTAAGGTAACTAGGATTTGGCCCTTAGTTACTTAATCAGGAATTAAAAATAGTAGCAACAAGCAAAAACATGTTTTTACTGTGTGAACTGAACACAAAAGTTACTTTATGACAGCCCAGCCCTCAAACTGGGTGCAAAATAGTGATGTTAGCAGGGTGTTCTACCTTGGCCAAGTTACTTCAATAACAGGTGAGGGCAATTAGCCCGATGTCTATATGACTTTGGGTCCCCACCAATACCTTCAGCTGGTGTACGTAAAGTGTGGAACTGCCTTCAGAGAACTGGGGATTTCTTAGATTGACTGGCCGTCCCAGGACGCAGGCACGCACGTTCAGTCACAGTCTCTCACGCTTTCACTTTTGAGACTTTTGCTCTGAAATCATGTAGTTATCTCCCTCCCTTTTGACTGTAGCTGCATCTTCAGTTTTCTTTGCTTTTGGATATGCATGGCTGGCAAGCCTAAAAGAGCAGAGAGGAGGTCTCCTGTGTTCACAAAACAACCGCCACGTTTGATGAGGGCATCCATGGTGCCTTGTGTTTCACTAGGTCTCTATGCTCTAACAGCTCTTTCAAAATATTTGACAGCTTTTGAGCTTCACTTCATCATAAGCAATCAATCTTTTTCTCCACAGATCCCTTTGAGGTGCTTGAGTCCTTGTTGTGACATGCCTATCATGATATGGGCAGCCTCGAGATTGAAGAGACGCATCTGTATTTTCTTCTCAGACACAGTCTCAGACAGAAGGTAAGCTTTTTAAAAATACTCTGTGCCTGGACTGCTTCATTGTTGTTTAAAGACTTAGTTCCAGCTTTCGATAAATTTTTTATTTTGTCTTGAATAGACAGTGGTTGTTTGGTGGCCTGGACTTCAGAGGAATTTGTGAGTGGACTTAGAGGCCTTCTTTAAAAAAATGAATTCAAACTGTGAAAGGAAATAAATATTTATATCTAATCATTCAAACTGATTTCAAAACTGAAATGATTAGATTTACATTTCCTAATATATGTGCATCTTTAGGTTGAACTAAACTGAAAACTATCATCAGATTATAATCCTGAGAATACTGGGTTTAGATTAATATGGATATTTGAAAGTGACTTGGAAGAGGTTAAGTACGGTTTACAGATGTAATAGGGAATAAGCAAACTGTCTCCAGATTTTTTGCAATGTGTTTCACTGAGAATAAATACGCTATATCCTCAGGTCTTTATGGGTTAATGTTTATAGAAAAGATAAATTCCTTTCAGAATGAATGCTATCTGCCAAGGGGTAGCTGATACACAATGTTTACCTCTTTGTTTCTCGTCTCCTAAATCTGTGTTAACAGAAGAGCAGGCAATTCTCTTAAATAAGGAGTTGAGTCAAATAGTTTGACCTAAGACTCTAGATTAGAGCTTTGACCTAAGCTCTAATCTAATAGACCGTTTACTGCTCACAAGACTGGCTATTATTGTCAAGTAAATAGGTTAAATATTGGCTGTATAATTTTTAGTTGCTGTGATTGTAAGTGGGCAACTGTTACAGCATGCAAGTATATGTTGTAAGTCTAGATCAAAACAGTCTAGCGTGAAAGGAATGATAAATAATGCATTAAATGTGTGAATCTCTCAGAAAAAGGGGTTTTATTGTAGTAAGTACTGAGCAATGGAAATAAATATTTTCAGGTGTACCCGCAGAAGACCTGATTCAGAACTCACTGAAATTGGTGGACTCACTTTCAGTGGGAACAGAGATACACTACATTAGTTTCTATAGTAAATATGAAACTATTCAATGAATCATGACCACAGCTCAAAACTGCAGCTATCCAGCCTGTTCCAAATGGACATGGAGATTTTTCAGAAACCTAAAAATTCAAATGTGCTCTTCAGATTTGGAGATATCTTCAGTCCATTTGGTATGACTCAAGTTTTAGAGCACTTCATAGTATGATGAAGATACATTTAATTTTACAGATTAAGATACAGATACATTTAATTTTAATCACAGATATTAAAACTGAGGCAAATTTGTGAGAATATGATTTGTTTTGAGTTTTAAGTCTTTTTCCAAAGAGTATCCAAAAAAAACCCCCAAACGTCTGGAACACAAATACACAGAGTGTATTGGAATGTTATTTTCAGCTATCCTGGGAACTTATTAGTTTCTCATTATATCTTTGGTCTAAAAATAATTTTATATGAAGTAATTAAGCAATGAACTTGCTATCTAGTGTCTCAGAATTATGTGCTTAAGTATATATAATTCTATATGGGTAAATAGCACTGTGCAAACATTGCTCTGATTAAAAATCACCACTTGATAAGAAACGAAAGTTAGAAGAAAATGTGGTCCCACAAGATCAAATGTTATTTTGTAGCAACACAAGGCAATGTACTAAGACTATACATTTTATATAGCTTTCAGTATTAGTCTATCCAGTTAGCTTATCTCTTCTCGTAGTATAATTGACTTGATAAGGTTTTGTTTCCTAGTGCTTCTAATATGTCAAGTTAGGGAACGTACAACCCAAGACATCTCTTCATATGGCCTATGTTTACATAGTCTTTCTTTGGTCTCTTGAATTTGCGTATGGAAACACCAATATATATATATACTGTCTGGAAACAGACAAATTCAATACATTTACTTCTGTTGAACTTTTTGTCCTGGCTGATGTAGTGTTCACCTTTTCTATCCTAACTCTCCAATACTGAGAAGATTTATCAGAGATGGCAAGGGGTGGCGGAGAAGGGAAAAATTAAAAATCTCAAATGATGTATACCTTTAATTCTGTTATTTTTGAGGCAGAAAAGAGGAAAAGTCAAATTTATTATGCTTAAACATATTTTCTTTTTGAAAAAAACAGGATTTTTTTTGTTTTAATTTTTGTTTTTTAATTTTTTTAATTTTTGGGTTTTTTTCTAATGAAAAATTAGAGAACACAATTTTGGATAAAGACGCAGTTTTAAAGCACGTTTTGTAGATCTAAATATTTTGGCCTAACTAGTGTTTCAATAGAGTTATGCTTCCATATGCTTCATTCATGCCAGCGTTGAAGTATGCAGCCTGTTTTGTACCCTGCAAAACTTTATTGCTGTTTTATATGAACTCTACTCTAAATTTTGGTGCACAGGTGAGCATTACACAGCGTTAATAGGAAAATATTTGTTTCCAGTGCAAATCTTGAGTAAAGCGTTGTATGTAGGAACTAGCTGGCACCTGTAACTTGGGTGCCAAATTCAGAATGTCATTGCTATTTGTCTGTACTCACTGCTGATTGTGAGATCTTCCCTGATGTAGCTATGGCTCCTAGCTCTTCTCCACCCTTTTGCAGAGAGCTTCCTTTTGTAGTGTTCAGCATGCTGAAGCCATTTTAAGGAGCTATCCTCTTTTTTATGGGGCAAATTCCTTTCTTTACATGTTTGGCCTTCCAATACAGCTATAGAGGAAAGAGTTATCCTGCAGGAGAATCTCAGATATTGACTAAGGGGTAAATTGTTAGGTCAGGTCTTTCCTGACATTAGATATTCCAACCAGCTATTTCAGTAACAAGCACTTTCTTTGCTTTAAAGATTTTTATTAAGGTTCCCAGGAGGCCAAAACTACCGATCAGCTTAATGGTCAGCTCTCCAGATCACTCTGGAGCAGTTACTGTATGGGTCACTTGACTGCAGCCTGGTCCCTTCCCTGCAGCTCCATTAGCTAGCAGCTCTTGGTGTAATGGAAATGGAAACCCTCATTCCTCCACCAGCTGTTGCATACAAAGGTAGCTATTCTTTCCTTCCTTAAAAAAAATCCATCAAAACTCATGATGCTTTTTTTTTTTTTTAAGTACAACAAATAACCTAAAAATAGAACTGTAGCTGGAATGTGAGCTACTTAGGATGGCTTAGTATGTTTATTAAAAATCTAGATTTTTTTGGATATTCTCGTGAGATACACATGTCCTTTTCATGATACTCCCCAGAGGTACTAGTCATACAGTCTGACAGCAGCATAAAGTAATTCAGTCTCATGTAAACAATGTAATTAAGGGCACTTGGATCCCAGTAATGGGATATGCACATAGTAGTCCTGCTCAAATCATCTTTTTCCTACCTCCAACTATACCACAACTGTTGAATATTGTGATGGGCAAGGGTCTTCTCTCTCTATCTACATATAAATAAGTTTTGTGCTTCCATTGTTAAATATAAAGAACCACTTTCTGCTTTTATTAAACTTAGCCTAAATGTTACTCTGTGTAAAAAGGATCCGAAATCTGCCTCTGAAACTCTGTGTATGAAGTTTGGTGGTCTCAGTTTACTGGAAAGGTATGCAGTCATAGAAGAAAAAAACAGCCACTCTTCTCAGCACTCATTAGAAGCTATATTATTAGAAGTATCAGCAGAGGGGTAAAGGATGGCACGAATGGTGTTGACTAACATATTGCCCCTACAGTAAAAGCCTATGAGTTTGGGGGTGGGATCACAGCAAGGCAGCCAAGAGAAGCTGCACACTGTGTTATCATCTGCAATGCCCCGGGGCCTCATCAGTGTGCTTGGCGTTGTGCAAACACGTAACAAAAAACGTCTGCACTCAGCCTTACAGCCTAAGCATTGTCCTCTTTTTCTGGGCACAGATGATCTGAGTAATCCAAGTCTGGCACCTCCTGTCTGCATTACATTTGCAATATTCAGAAAGAGCCAGCTCCGTTTCATACTTACACTGCAGCTGACTACAGAAGCCCCCTCTGTAAAAACAGTGGGATCAATAGATCTTGGACTTATAAATTGATTTTTAACAAGCTTTTAACATTAGGAAAATGTTCTGATTAAGACATTCAAATAAGCAAACGGCTTAATAGAAGAGGTATAGACATGGCCCTTGTATCTCAAGACAGATGAGGCTGCTAAATCGTTGTAAAGATTAATCTGATGTCGACACGTTTATCACATTTACTGTGTATATTTTACATTGAGATAGGATATTTCTGTAGCATTTGTGTCATTGTATGTCACAGTCTTCAAAAAATAATGTAAGTAGTAATGGTAAGAAACAACATTCTTAAAAATCACATTTTAAAAAAAAAAAACAGACTTTGTAAGAAAATATGCTGGAGAGTATGAGAGTGATTATTTTAACTTACAAGACCTGTGGCTGACTGCCCAGGACTATTCCTGGTGTTGTTACTGTGCTGATGTTCTGAAGAAAACCGACCTCTTCAAAGTACTGCCTTCCTCCAGGCAGTGCTCTTCACCAGGGAAATGCCTCTGGCAGCAGCCTTAGCAACTTTTCTTCACCTCTTCTGTGTCTGTTTGTAACACCCCACAGTCAAAGATGTTCAGCAGAGGAATCACATGCCTGCAGTACCTTCAGTTTCCCTGCTGACATCCACGTGCCATATTTGCTATAAAAGAATGCCAGTTTTTCTAGCTAGACTTTTAGCTGACCCTGAAATCATCTTTCGCCATCGCTGTGCCACCCATAGGTAGGCAGGCCAGCCATCCTCTTCTTTCCTGCCAGTGCCACTGGGGTGTCACCGTGGCCCATGTGTTACACTTGGCTGCTGCGAAGGCTGTCCTAGCGAATGAAGGCTCGCTCTGGTGATGAAAACCTCCCCAAAAGCCACTGAAGCAGGAGGCAGGTTTGTGGGACAAAGCCCTCTAGGACTGAACAGCAGCAGCCTGGGTGCATAAGGGATTGATTGCTCTTCCATAGTTGGACACCATGTGCAGAGGGAGTTGGGGCAGCTTCACTGTGGATACCGAAGCTGAGGATTGAGGTAATCACCAGGGAGGGTCTGTGTATTACCAAACCAAATAAATGTACACAAGAGAGGGCTTCATTTGCATTAATTACAAAAAATATATATAGAAATGTAAAACAATTCAGAAGAGTTGGAACAGAGTTGAACACCTCCAGAAGCATCAAGGAAAATGATGACAGATGCAGATGTT